TCCCTAGTCTAACCAAACCCAGCTACTTCAGTCTGCCTATGGCTGGTGACACAAAGCAATTTGAGTGAGGTCGAACTGTACACTGTTTATTATTTTGGTCTCTTTTCTGGTTTCTTTGTTAGTATGACCACAAGCGAATCTCACAACTGGCAGAACGACTAGTTACAAAAATAATGACTGAGGTTCCTGATGTGGTTATGAATGGAGATAAAGAGCATCGCTATCCAGGTAACATTAGCAAAATCCTGAGCCCCTTAGAACTGTCTAGCTCCTCAGTGTTAATGGCCATGACTGAATAATGCACTCTAGCTACACATTGTGCAAGTACTGCCATATGGGATAGGATTTGCCCTAGGTTTCAGTTGATGGAAGTTTTTTTTTCTATTTCATTTATTTGTATGTAGGATGCATCAATTTATCTTTTGCATATGTGGAAGGGGAGAGTCTTCTGATGGCTCTGAAAGACGTGGCTCTGTCTTCAGGAAGGTAGGTGGAATGTGTGGGAAGGATAGCAGTATGTTTTGGAGAGAATGTAACATCCTGCACCTGGGTCAGGGCAACCCCCGGTATCAGTACAGGCTGGGGCATGAAGGGATGGAGAGCAGCCCTGCCGAAAAGGACTTGGGGTGCTGGTGGATGAAAAGCTGGACATGAGCCAGCAATGTGTGCTCACAGCCCAGAAGGCCAACTGCATCCTGGGCTGCACCCAAAGCAGGTGAGACCCCACCTGGAGTACTGCATCCAGCTCTGGAGCCCTCAGCACAGGAAAGGCCTGTTGGAGCGGGTCCAGAGGAGGCCACAAAAATTATAAGAGGGATGGAACACTTGTCTTGTGAGGACAGGCTGAGTTATTCAGTGTGGAGAAGAGAAGGCTCGGGAGAGACAGTACAGCCTTCCAGTACTTAAAGGGGGCCTATAGGAAAGATGGAGGGAGACTTTTTAGCAGGGCCTGTTGTGATAGGACAAGGGATAATGGTTTTAAATTAAAAGAGGGTGGATTGAGACTAGATACAAGGAAGAAATTTTTCCCTGTGAGGGTGGTGAAGCACAGGCACAGGTTGCTCAGAGAGGTGGTAGATGTTCCCATCCCTGGAAATATTCCAGGTCAGGTTGGACAGGGCTCTGAGCAACCTCTGCTAGTTGAAGATGTCCCTGCTTATGACAGGGGGGTTGGACTAGATGACCTTTACAGGTCACTTCCAACCCAAAGATTCTGTGATCTGCTAATGGAGGTACAAACTACGGAGTGGTCTCCTCTGTGCCCTGTATTTGCATGTTTGCTTAATGAGTCACCCTGGCATTGATTGCATTCTAAGACGGTGTTTCTCTGAAGTGGCATATTTCAAATGAAGGTCAAATTTACGTTATGTGAAAGCAAAAAAAAAAAAAAAACCACCAAACACCACCACCTCCAACATAACTAGAAAAACCAATCTAGAAATTCCTACCTGCCAGCCTTGCAGACTGTGATCTGAGTAGCTTGACTTGTAACTGCTGATGAAAGTCATTCTAAAGGCTAACAGCATCTGTGCAGCTTCTGTCCTTCCG